GAGAACGTCACCACGGAGCTATTATTCCAACCCGTCTACTTTAAACTAGTTTTCCATACCTTGGGGACCCTCCGACTGTATTGCATCTCAGAACATTTCATGATGGCTCAGTGTTAAAGAAGCTGAGCTTGTCAGCTAGAAAGCTGACGGCCCAGGTTCAAGACCCAAGCGCCGCTTGATGGGATGAGCTCCCCAGCTCCTGCCAACTTAGCAGTTTGAAAGCATGAAAATGCCAATAGATAAATAACTCCCTTTGGTGGGAAGGTAACGGTGCTCCATGAGCCTTTGGCATACAGCCATGCTGGCCACATGACCACGGAAGTGTCTTTGGACAACATAGGTTCCTTTGACTAGGAAACAGAGATGAGAAGCAGTGGTGGAATTCAATTTTTTTTTACCACCGGTTATGTGGGCGTGGCTTGGTGGGCATGGCAGGGGATGTCTACTGCAAAATCTCCATTCCCACCTCACTCCAGGGGAAGGATACTGCAAAATCCCCATTCCCTCCCCACTCCTGGGGGAAGGATACTGCAAAATCCCCATTCTGTCCCCACTCCTGGGGGAAGGATACTGCAAAATCCTCATTCCCTCACCACTCCAAGGGAAGAATACTGCAAAATCTCCATTCCCTCCCCACTCCTGGGGGATGGATACTGCAAAATCCCCATTCCCTCCCCACTCCGGGGGAAGGATATTGCAAAATCCCCATTCCCTCCCCACTCTGGGGCCAGCCAGAGGTGGTATTTGCCAGTTCTCCGAACTACTCAAAGTTTCTGCTACCGGTTCTGCAGAATCTGTCAGAACCTGCTGAATAGCACCCCTGATGAGACGTATCCCTTAAGAATTGGACATGACCGGACAAAGGTCAATCCAATTTGCAAGGTACTTCTGGAAAAATTGGCCTCTACTAATTAGTGCAGTTCTGAGAATTTGAAGGACTTTTCCTGCCTAATAAGGAAGATGCAGCTCTAATGGGAAATGGTTCTAACCATCTCCAGGAAGCTCCAAGGATACCTTGCTTTTGACTCAGGTACAAAACAAGGTAGTTTTCAATGGCTGCCTAGGAAGCTTTAATAAATAACAAAATATTTGCCTTTTTTTCTCCCCTGATAGTTTTTTTTTTAAAGGTTAAAACCTGCAGCTGGAATAACATAACGTTACCATTAGATATATATATATATTAATGTTGAGGTTTGCTTTACAGCCTTTTTGGAAAATGCAATTGCATTTTACTTGACTTTCGGTTCTCCTTGGAGACGCTGAGAATTGATCCTAAGACCTCCTGACATACAAATGAACGATGACCGATTCTTTTTCTGAACAACAAATACACATTTTTCCCCCCATTTCCATACAATGTCGTCTCCATGGCGTTCAGGTAAACCTTTTGTTCGTGTTGCTTTGTTTTCTCATTCTAAAGAAACTTTATGAGCCTGGTATTTGATTATATGACTCCAAGTATAATATTTTGAAGTAAGGGGGTATTTTAATGTATAGAACAGGAGCAAAGTCAGGCAATGAAAAACTCCGTAAACCTCCTGCAATAATCAAATTAAAATCCCTCTACTTCCCAATGAATCAAGGGTTAGGCTTAGCATGTTAATTCAATGTGGTTTGTATTGGTCTCCATCTCTCTCTCTCTTTCTCTCTTTTTTAATATACATCTATCTATCTATCTATCTATCTATCTATCTATCTATCTATCTATCTATCTAAAATTTATATTTGCTGATACATATATAAAATTTACTAGCTGGATACCCATGCTTTGCTATGAAACTATGTGATGGGGCTTGATAAATTGACACTTAAAGCTTGAAAATTAATGAGTAGTTACGATTGGCCTCTCCTCTCCCCTTCTCTCCCTCAGGTTTGCCCCACAGAAGCCTCCCCTATCCTATCCTCTTCTCTCCCTCAGTCTTGCCCCACAGAATCCTCCCGTATCCTATCCCTTTCTCTGCCTCAGCCTTGCCCCACAGAATCCTCCCCTATCCTATCCCCTTCTCTGCCTCAGCCTTGTCCCACAGAATCCTCCCCTATCCTATCCCCTTCTCTCTCTCAGCCTTGCCCCACAGAATCCTCCCCTATCCTATCCCCTTCTTTTCCTCAGGCTTGCCCCACAGAATCCTCCCCATCCTATCCCTTTCTCTGCCTCAGCCTTGCCCCACAGAATCCTCCCCTATCCTATCCCCTTCTCTGCCTCAGCCTTGTCCCACAGAATCCTCCCCTATCCTATCCCCTTCTCTCTCTCAGCCTTGCCCCACAGAATCCTCCCCTATCCTATCCCCTTCTTTTCCTCAGGCTTGCCCCACAGAATCCTCCCCATCCTATCCCTTTCTCTGCCTCAGCCTTGCCCCACAGAATCCTCCCCTATCCTATCCCTTTCTCTGCCTCAGCCTTGCGCCACAGAAATGTCTCCTATCCTATCCCCTTCTCTCCCTCAGGATTTCTAGCCCCTTCTCTCCCTCAGGATTTCTAGCCCCTTCTCTCCCTCAGGATTTCTAGCCCCTTCTCTCCCTCAGGCTTGCCCCACAGAAGCCTCTCCTATGCTATCCCATTCTCTCCAGAGTTATTTTCAATTTGGGAGGGAGTAGAACGTTTAACTAATTAGCATCAGAGTCAGGGGTGGGTTCTACTTACCTTTACTACCGTTTCACAATGGGAACGTGAGTGCTCGCTTCGCTCATGCGCGCATGCTTCTGCACATGCGCTCATGCTTCTGCACATGCGCTCATGCTTCTGCACATGCGCAGAAGCTTCTGCGCATGCACAGATCATCCATGATGATGTCCGGGCGGGTGGGCGGGGCCTCCCGCCACTTTTACTACCAGTTCGCCAGAACCGGACCGAACCGGCAACAACCCACCACTGATCAGACTGTGTTAATAACAATATGGGAAATACTAATGCTCTGATGGTCATTTCAAAAAAAATCCTTTCTTAGTGAGCACCTAGAAGCCAAGAGGAACATCCGTGGCAAATTTCAAGTTTGTAGGCTTTACGGTTCTGGAGATTTCGTGATTATGGCGTGAGTGTTTTTCGCATTTATATATATAGATAAGCATTTTTGAATACAGTATATGAATGCAGGGTATGTCAGTTACACAAACAAAAACCAGAATAAAAAAAGATATTAACACATGAACTCATAACAGTAACTAGTAATAGTAACTATAATATAATAATACTTGTATTAGATATAATTGTAATGTCAGGTTTCGAGGTTGTCTCAAATAAATTGCATTTCAAACAAAGTCTTTGAAGAAAAACTCTTATTTATTAAGCACGGCATTCTAAACCCGACTACAATCGAAGTCAACACTGACTTCCAGCCCCAAAACCCTCCCTTTCCATTCCCCACTCCCCTGCACTTATTGGCCATCTTCCAAGTCATTCTACCCCTAATCTACTCCAGCTCAAAGGAATTTCCCCCCTCCCGTCCCATCTCCTAGGGGATATTATCTCCAGGGAAAATAAGTAGGTGAAAAGTCAAACGTCCCTTTCCAGACGCCTTCGCTTCTCCTTCTTATGTCAGCACTAGAGTAAATGCAGGTTGAAGTGCTGACATGTAATAATATAACCAAATAGTTTAAACTGGGTTTTCTTGTATCTTGGCCTATCTACATTTTGTAGATTATCATACTTATAGTTAAAAACCATCTCTATTTTAATACAGACATTCATAATCTTTTTTCCTCTAATTCCTACCCATTTTCTCTAGCCACTCATAAAAACTGTTCCATATCTGGTAGTATTCTGAGTCTTCTTTATCTTTAATTTTAAAAGTTAACCTATCCATTTCAGCACATTCTAAAATTTTCCGAATCACTTCTCCGTCTGGCGGAGTGTTTTCATTTTTCCAGTATTTAGCAAATATAATCCTTGCCGCTGTCAGGTCTCCCTCTCTGAATACAATTCCAAAACCCCTCACCTCTCTATTAGTCTCTAAAATTAACCGATTTGCCAGAGCTAAAACAAAAATGAGTATCACATAGCATAGCAACCTTAAGTTATTTCTCATTTGGAACAAGGCTGAGGAAGTAATTTGTTTTCATTTCTCGTTCCCTCTGATAAATCTGTCAGAAAGCTTAGCTACATTTAATCTGTCTAAGGTTTAATAACACGACGACAGACAAAACAGAGGTTAAGAAGATATATAGAACCATCTCGCAGAAAGTGGCACCTGCTGTGAGGAGCCACAGGTGTTTTCTGGACACCTTTATGGAATTTTGTGCAGCCAGAAGAATTTCATTATAAGGCGAACACATTCAATTATATGTCACATCTCAGATCTGGGTCCTAATCTCATGTAATGATGCTCCAGTTTCTTCTTGGTTCCCCCCCCCTTCTTTGTTTAAGACAGGTAATCTGCAGCTCAGGTAATTTCTGGACACCCTCTGCTCAAACTATTAAGAAACTGTATAATTACTTCTTGGGTATAAAATTGGAAGAGGAACAAGTAAAAGAGACAATAATAACCTGCAATACTACAATCTGACCAGTAGTGGGTTGCAAAACCCATTGCTACCAGTTCGCTTGTTCGCGCGATGTTTCTACACATGCGCAGAAGGGTCTGGCGCGGGTGGGCGGAGCCTCCCACCGCCACCGCTACCAGTTCGCCAATCCAGATAGAACTGGTAGCAACCCACCACTGATTCTGACCACTGCGCCACCACAGCTGCATTCTAATGTAACGCATTCTAACCACTGCACCACCACGTACAAGTATGCAAAGAAATAATATTTTTTTTTCTACTCTAGCGCCAACGGAATCTTAAGATTATGCATCCATTCTTGTCCATGACATATCACAGCTTTGACAAGCTTCCGGAAGAGCAAAATCAACCGCCGACCTCCTTGAATGAATTAAAAAAAAAAAATCTGACCATCACTTTGCATATGAGGGAAATGAAAACAATCTTTCTTATGTGACCATTACTGTGAAAATAACACCAATGGGGCAGAGTTGCCAGAGATGAAAGTGAATGAATTTAACTCACAGCTGATCCAAAAGTGTAGTCCTCACATGACACTTGATCGCAGCCACCTCCGTCAACATCTGGATGCCAGTTGCATAAGTTGGTTTAACAGGATGTTGTCAGCTGCTGCTTAAGAGAAAAATGGCAAAAATCATGGTTAGGAGAATATCTTCATTGTGAATCCGACTCAAAGGTCAGAACAAGCTTTTAAAGATTTTTTAGATGTCTTTTAGATTTCTTAATGAGAAATATGAAGACATCATCTTCTCCTTCTTCTCTCTCTCTCTCTCTCTCACACCCCCCCCCCCACACACACAAAGAGACAGAGAAAGGGAACAACAACCAAACACAGATTAATAATACTGAGATCCTGAAGTCTCCATGGTCTTCTAAGTTTAAGTTTACTTTATGGTCATTGCACCTCATACAATGAAATTAAATGCCATCTTCAGTGTACATTATACATTAAAAAATAAATAAATCCTTCACATTCTATACAATTGAATTGAAAACCCCTGAAATTGCATTAATATTGCACTGTACAGTAGAATTCAATATAGCACCTCCGGCTGGCCTCAGAGTGGAGTGGGAATGGAGATTTTGCAGTATCTTTCCCCCAGGAGTGGAGTGGGAATGGAGATTTTGCAGTATCCTTCCCCTGGAGTGGGGTGGGAATGGGAATTTTGCAGAATCCTTCTCCTGCCACACCACACCACACCACGCCCACCAAGCCACACCCACAGAGCCAGTAGTAAAAAAATTTGGATTTCACCACTGGAGTAATAAATTATACAAATGACTGAAATTCCTGGCCGGTTGTAACCGTCAAAGCCAAATTAGCACCATCTTGTCCTTTTAACTAAAAAAACAGGCAGCAAAAAATGAGAAAACTATTCAGTTCATCTCACAGTCTAAAACCAAGCTAGAAATATTTCCTGGCGGTTAAAAACACATTACTGGATATGTGAATTCAAATGTCAAAATCCGCTTTTACAAGCATATTTATTTTTATTGTGCACCCCAACATTGGTTTATTCTCAAACTGTCTCGGAAACAAGATATACAGTAATAAGTAAGGTTTGTTTGGTTTAGTGGTTTTTTTTTTAAAAAAATAACTCCTACCGTAAACGTGTTTAAATGGATAGATTTGTATGGTTCTCATGTATCGTTTTTCTTCTGTATCTTTTGATTTCTCCTAAATGAGTCATACAACCCCCCCGCTGCATTTTGTCTAACCCTCAATTTGGAATTTCCAGAAACAATACTACTTGCTTCTCAGAAGTTTGCTAGTTTTCACAGAGGCGGAGAGCGAAACAGTCCAAAATACCACATTATCAGAGGTAAACCAAAATTCTGGCTTGCCTCCAGAAACTGTGGGCAATCCATCACTGGAGGTTTTCAAGAAGAAACTGGATAGCCATTTGTCTGGAAAGATAGAGGGCAGTGATGGTGAATCTTTTCAGCAGCAAGTGCCCAAACTGGAGTGCACGTGCCATTTGTGTACACCGGAGCTCCGGAAACCTGAAAACCAGCTGGCTGGCGTGCGGATACCTGTTTTTTTGTCTGATTTTCAGGCCATTTCCAGGCTGTTTTTTGGGCTATTTTCAGGTAGTTTTCAGGCTGTTTTTTGGGCTGTTTTCAGGCCATTTTCGGGCTGTTTTTGGCCTGAAAAATGGCACGGTTTTTGGCTGTTTTTCAGGCTGTTTTCAGGCCATTTTCCAGGCTGTTTTCAGGTAGTTTTCAGGCTGTTTTTTGAGCTGTTTTCAGGCCATTTTCGGGCTGTTTTTGGCCTGAAAAGTGGCACGGTTTTTGGCTGTTTTTCAGGCCATTTTCAGGCCATTTTCCAGGCTGTTTTCAGGTAGTTTTCAGGCTGTTTTTTGAGCTGTTTTCAGGTAGTTTTCAGGCTGTTTTTTGGGCTGTTTTCAGGCCATTTTCAGGCTGTTTTTGGCCTGAAAAATGGCACGGTTTTTGGCTGTTTTTCGGGCCATTTTCAGGCCATTTTCCAGGCTATTTTCAGGTAGTTTTCAGGCTGTTTTTTGGGCTGTTTTCAGGTAGTTTTCAGGCTGTTTTTTGGGCAGTTTTCAGGCCATTTTCAGGCTGTTTTTGGCCTGAAAAATGGCACGGTTTTTGGCTGTTTTTCGGGCCATTTTCAGGCCATTTTCCAGGCTATTTTCAGGTAGTTTTCAGGCTGTTTTTTCAGCCGTTTTCAGGCCTTTTGGGGGCTGTTTTTGGCCCGAAAAACAGCCTGGTTTTTGGCTGTTTTTCGGCCCATTTTCAGGCTGTTTTCCAGGCTATTTTTCAGTAGTTTTTTTTGTTTACAAAGTTTAATTTCATTTTTAAAAATACAATACTTTACATATATACATACAAGGTTATTGCAACTAACGTACACAAATCTGCACCTATACCACTAATACAATCCATTTCATTTCCCTCTCTTTTCTTTCACCCAATTATACCATCAATTCCAACATTTGTAATAATCAGAATCTTTTTGGTTCCTAAGTCATTTCGTTAACCGGTCTGCCTCTGCGCATTCTGTAATTTTCTAAATCAGTTTATTTTCTGTGGGTATTAATTCGTTTTTCCATTCTTGCGCGTATAGTATCCTAGCTGCAGTAGTGATGTGGAGGATCCAGCACCATTTTTCTTTAGTTATTTTGTCTGGTTTCATTCCTAATTAAAAAAAAAATTCTGGTTTCAGCTCTATATTATATCCTGTAATTTCCACTATCTGATTCCGAACCTTGGACCAGTATTTGCCTGCTTTGGGGCATGTCCACCATTGGTGGTAGTATGTCCCACAACCATTCCTACACTTCCAGCACGCCGGAGAAACTCCCGGGAACATTCTTGTGATTAAACCTGCATTCATTTGAACTGCTGGGACTCCTGATTTCCTGTACTTTACATCCCAATAATATAAGAAAAGGGTCTATGCAAGAGATAAACATCTCATGAGACTAGACATCTAAAACAGCTTAAGATATAAAGACTCTTAAAGACTCTCTGTGACAGACCTGAAATCATTCATATCTCTTAGCTCTCAGTAGTCTTATCCCTTGTACTAATGTCTACCATCTGCCTAATTTAGCCCACTGAATATAAATAGGCTAACATATGCTACGCATATCTTTGGTTATAACAGCCACTGTGTAAAACAATTGGAAATAACCTAGGTAAGTCTTCAGTGATATTTGAGGAAGGGTTCTTTTTTTTTTCTTTCTTTCTTTTGGAGATTTGAAGATGATGTTTGAGGCATAATCTTCCATAAATCTCTGCCCGCTGAGCTTTCATTCATGAAAACCTTAGGTGCCTGTATGTCTTTCTCCTATGTTGCAAAGATGGAAGAACAGAATATGATGTCCAGGCTGAATCGTTGTGATCGTAAAGATGGTTTGGCTGTTGAGGATCCCATAATCAATCTCAGCAACTCCAGGTAGAACCAGGAGAAGTCTTATTCAAACCAAACTCCTATCCAAGAGGAGAAGCAATTCCAGTCTTGGTTGATTCTCTGGCCACACAACCCACAAAACCTGACCATAGAATTAACCCAGTTTGCACAGGGCATTGAACGTTGGGTCTGTTGGTGTGCATATATCCAAAAAGGAGGGAAAACAGAAATGTACGGGAGGATTTATTTCAAGCATTTATACAGAATGTCTTGCAGAGGGAAGAGAAATATCTTATTTCCATCATGGAAGAGAAAATCAAAGTAAGAACCGGGAAGAAGAACAAATAATCAAGCAGAAATAAAAAAAATGAGACAAGACTGAAGAAAAGTGTTTGTTTTGTTTGGGTTTTGATCGGAGAAAGTGTTGTGGCCCGCCAGCGGCCAGCAGAGTTGGCAGCAGATTCAGACAGTGAGGATGTTCTCTGTCCTGGAGTCTGGGGAAGGCTCTGATGAGGGCTCTGAGTCGGAGGCAGAGAGGGGGCCAAGGCCATCTGGTAGTTCTTTGCTACCTCCAGAGTCTCCGGAGTCTGACATCAGCGAGGCAGAAGAACAGCGTGAGCCTGTTCCTAGTATGCTCATGTGCAGAGCTGCCAGGAGACAGGAACAATTAAGGAAACAGGGTCAACTTGGGAGTAAGGCTTGGAGATGATTGGTCCCTCCCATAAGACATAAAAGAGGAGTGAATGGGACATGAGCTTTTGAAGGAAGCAATTAGTTCATCTGGTCGGTAAAAGCTTTGGAAAAGTACTCTTTGACTCTGTGCTAAGTTTGGCCTTGCCCTATGTGTGGCAATTAGTTCTCTGGCAGCATTCCAAGGGAGATAATGTGGGTGTTTGTAAACACTCCCCTGCAAGACTGTTTGAGAAGCCTTTCGGACTGGGAATGACAATAATTCACAGCCGTATGAATAAAAGAGGTTTGCCGGGACTAAGATTGTGCTGTATACTTTCTAAGGAAGCCTAGGTCAGAACAGAAAGACAGTCTCTTACCAGACACTTAAAACCCCCTCAGTTCTCTCCACCTAAAGCACTTTCCATGATTCACGATGGTATGGAGAGATAGAAGAAGCAGGAAGCTGAGGAGAGTTCCTCACCACACCTATTGTCATAGATTCGTAGGGCTGGAAGGGACCTCGGAGGTCTTCTAATCCAAACCCCTGCACAAGGTCCTTGTTCTATCTCAGACAAAATGGCTGCCCAATCTTTTCTTGAAAACCTCCCGTGATGGAACATCTACAACTCCAGGAGGCAAGCTGTTCCACCACTGAGTAATTGTCCTCACTGTCAGGAAATTTCTCCTTAATTCCAGGTTGGATCTCCCCAGGGGTGAAATGCTCCCGGTTCGGACCGGCTCGTGATGGCGGCCGGCAGTTTGGAGAACCGGTAGCAAAAATCCCTGCTCCTGTCCCCCATGCCCAGCTGAGCCGCGCGATCATCAGAGCCTTTTTTTTCCTTTTAAATGGCTCTGACGATCCAAGCTCTGATGATCCCAGCTGAGTTGCCTGCCGATCAGGCAACTCAGCTGGGATCGTCAGAGTCTTTTGAAAGCATTTTTTTTACATGATTTTACATGTAAAAAATGGTTTTAAAAATAAAAAAAATTGGCCACACCCACCCAGTCACATTACCCTCCCCCCCAACAAGCCACGCCCACAGAACCGGTAGTAACGAAT